ACAGTGGCTTGCTCGGTGGATCTTCAGATGGGGCAGTGTCTGAACATTGTATTGTTGAAGTGAAGTGTCCGCAAGGGTCAGCAAGAACCAAGACTATTATGCAGGCAGCAGAAAGTATGGATTTTTTTCTGGAGTTGGATGAGGTGACTGGTTCTCTGACACTAAAACAAACTCATGATTACTGGCATCAAATCCAGGGCAACCTACATTTGATCAAAGCTAAGAGATGTGACCTAATTGTGTGGAGTCCTCTTAAATACCAGTGCTCCAAGACCCAAAATGGGCTGTTAACGTTGACATTTTATAAAGATTGTTTCCTGCCAAACATTCTATCCCAGTTGTAAGTGTATTTATCTGCACTTGAAATTACCCTGTATTTATGTACTATATACTGCATTCTGTATTGTGACAGTATTGTATAGTGTGAACACAAAAATTGGACAAAGAATAACAACACATTTATCTGGAGTTTTGTGATCTTTTAATGAAAATTTGCATTTTGTTGCTATCACCTGGTTTTAGGTGTTGAAGAAGTCCACAGTCAGCTGTTATTGCCTTGTCTGAAGCACTCCCACTGAAGCACTCCCAGTGACCAGTGCAAGCACTGGTCACTGGCAAAGGTAATTACTCCATTGGGCGCTACACCGATTAGTGCCTTAAGTGTGGTCCATGGCTGTACAATTGTCAAGCACTAACCTAGTTAGGAAAGGGCCGGAAATGGCAGGCAGTGATGTTTGATTCTTGGCTGTGGAGGGGATGTTGTTCTCAAGGAAGCCAACATACAAAATGTTATACAGTGCACCAACGATAGTGGTAAAGATGGCTTTCAGCTTTGCCGTTGGGGAAATCGCAACTGCACACCCTGGAATTGCAGTTTGGGGTGAAGTTTTCTGTTATGTAAACAGCAATTTCATTGAATCACTGAAAGGTAGTTTTTTTTTTGTATTCTCTTTAGTGTCTGATTACAATTCCTACAAAATCATGTAATGATAAATGCTGTTTAAACTACATAATGAATAATAATTTCTTTATTAGGCATCTCTCTCTCTCTCTCTCTATATATATATAAGAATGGATAAACAAAGTAATGAGAGAGATGGTTTGCTTATGTACAACAATCATCATATCTTACAAATACCTAATTGACCTGATAGCTAGTTTATTCACACATTTGCACTGACACTAAATGTATTCGCAATAATTTTTAAATGTCTTTAAAGTTTCCAAATATTTTAGTTATTAAAAGAACAATGTAATGATGTTCCCTTAATAGGCTATTATTATTATTAATTATCATTATCAGAAATGTTTTAATGTTTTAACCACTTAATGTTTTAGTAAGCTATACATATTTTAAGTTAATATTGTTTGTGTGTACTTAGTTTAATCATTAAACTATAGTTAATAGACCCAGGTGCTAACGTTAGCACCGACTATAACGTTAGCACCAAAAGTTTTTCTGTTTAATTATTAGTTTGTCAAGTATAAGAAATTGTTCTGTGTATTATTATGCACTATAAAGTAAGCTATATATATTTTAAGTTAATATTGTTTGTATGTAACGTTACTTTGTATAATCATAACCAATAGTTTATAGAGACCAATGTGGTAATGTTAGCACCAACTCGCGGCATTTTTTTCCCTTTTTTGTTTGTTCGTTTAAGAATATAACTTACCTTATCAACTGCAGCCACTTCCTCTTCTCTTTCTCATTGCAAGGAAATCGGTAGAATGACAACTGCGTAGATTTTTTGAGCTCAGATCGATTCAAACAACAAGGGACACAGCACTGCGGCATATAGAAAATACAAGAGATGTAGCTAGCGCTGTAGAGGCTTTGACCCGGAAACAGAATCGTTACGTCACGACTTAACAAGCCGATAGCCACCGCACAATTAAGCAAATTCCAGCCGGGTCCATCACTTTTTGGGGTCCCCTTGAAACATTTCTGTTGTGGTTCGTGCTATTTGCAACGCGTTTCTTATTTGGTTGTGTGTTGTGAGGATTTACAGTGCGTTTCTATATTTGCATGTGTTGTAAGGATTTGCAGCACATTTTCGTATTTGTGTTTGCGTTGTGAGGATTTTCAACACGTGTGTTGTCAAACTGCAGAAGATGTTTTCTTAATTTGCTGGTGTTTTTTCTATTTGCATGTGTTTTTTTAAGTTGCAGTGCGTTGAATTCTCTCGGGCCACCGTAAATTAGTGAAATTGCGTGAACTTAAATTGTCGCTTATGAAACCGCTTTAGTCCCGATTGATTTGTTAGGCTATTTCAAGTCAGGTCTTGGACTTTAATCCCCGCTTTTCTTCATCTATGTAACAGCCCCCATGGTCAGGTCAGTTTTAAATACGCATGTTGTCATAAGTTTACGTACACCTTGCAGAACATGTAGGTATGGCACACAGTATTAATAATCAAACATATATACACATTTAAATTAGGTAATTTTTTAAAATTCAGCTATTATTTTATCTTGTTTACTATATTTCAATATCCGTTATGTGAAATAGCTCACAATTATACATGAAACAGAAACGAATGCTCCAATAGTTATAGTAATGTAATTAATCATTAGTCAAAAGTGTCTGTCTACAATCAGGAAGTATAAAGTATCAAGTAACAACAAGACTACCCCTGAAACAACCTCGGCAGAAGGCTGGTTCACATGTAACTGCAACTGAGGCCTGTTTCCAGGGGAAAGTCCTGCTGTGAAAATATGACTTTCACTTCTTTCTTAGTTTTTAATTTTAGTATAGGCCTCAGGCCAAAAAAAGAAAAGAAAAAAAGAGCACACAAATGAACGGTGGAAACTAAACATGGAGTTCCCCTGGTGGTTTAAAAAAAATGTTCGCTCAATTACACTAGAGAAGGGGACAAAGGGAGACAGAGACAGACATGCAAAAATGGTAAGAGGAACAAGTCTGATGTGTCACCAAAGGGCACTTTTAATGGCTTAATGACCAAAGCCTTATAATACCTAGCAGTTGTCCATGTGACTTACAGTTAAAATACTTATTTTATATATTTATATATTATAAAAAACATTCTTGCTTCCATTTATGGTAAGCTAGCTGCTTGAAGTCCCTCTAATGGTTTCTGCATTTGTTTAAAATGGCGAAAGATGAGTGAAATGTGGTACTCTGAACCACTAAAATTATAATTCAAGCCACACTCTGGTGGAACTCCCAAAATGAACCATGGCATTTATAGTGACTCTTTGCTCTGTCACATGCAGAACTGGAATAATAATGCTGCATTTTAAGACAGTGTGGACAGATGTGGAGATGAAGCCTTGTATTCTGTGTTAGATAAACTTAATATTCACATTTCAGACTATGCCACCTACTTGAATGTACCAGTGTTTCATTTTACCAGCTAGTACTTGTTTGAGAGGATTTCATGAAATATGATGCATTGTATGTCTTTGAATTTATCCCGTGGTAGCAAAAATCCTAAATCTTATGTTTTATTTTTGTTATTTCATTCAGTGAAATAACAGGGCTAAATTTCCTCTGAAACAATCCTAATGACAGTAGTGTTTTAAATATGAAAGCACAACTCGTTTAAACATTAAAACAAGTTGTTTATTTATTGTTTTTAGGGGATTAATGCCTCTTTCAGCCCCCAACATAACATCATGCTTGTTCATCACATGAAAAGAGCACAGTGCTATACATATTATAAATACAAGCCAAAACAATGCACATCAACAAAACCTCTGTTTAGTTGCCTTTAGGAGGGACTACCCCCCCCCAAAAAAAAGCTTATTCACAATTACTAGTTGAGATCCCTAACTCCTTGAAAATATTTGAGAAATTGACGGCAGTGTTGTGGATGTTGCTATGTCTGAGTTGCATGGGTAATTTTTTGAGCTGGTCTATACTAGCACCTCCAATCCACTCTGAAATGGGAAGATGTAAGTGATTGGTTTGAATAGAGGGAATGTTTCCATTGCAGCTTCTGGCCAAGATGATGTCTCACAAATCTGTAGTTTGGACTAGCGTATTTTTTCACGAGCAAAGAAGTCTGGCAGGAACTTTTTCAGTATAGATAAACCACCTTTACAGAAATTGTAAAAAACGTCACAAATAAACAGGCAGTGACTTTGTCTTCATGTTCATACATTTTGCTGTACTATATAAATAAGCTTAAAACAGCTATTTAAATAGTTAAATCAAAAATAAAATGTTAAAATAAGAATTTTGTTTTATTATTTAGTCATGTCATTCATTTTTTGGTAACGCTACACAAATTTGTTAAGAATGTTTATAAAATAGTTTATACAACTATTTTCCATACAACTGTCTGGAATACTTGATATTTTGATTTTATTTTGTGTTTAGTAATTGACTAAGGTGGGTGCACCAGAGAATCTTAGCACAAAGTATGCTTGTGTAAATGTATTTTAATTACTCTGTGCTGTCCTCTACAGGTCAGAATACCACAATGCAAAAACATTCAAGGGCAAGTCAGCTAAAAATGTAATTACATATGAATTATGTATGACTCGGAATCGATGACCAATTAAGACACTATTCTGGAGATTTTCGCATGTTGAGTATATGTTATCATGCCAGCTGGTTCCCCTCAGCACCGCATGAAGATCCATTGATTTGCACTCGGTGTGTTTTACGCAAGGCGATGTCGAGGACGTGACCGCAGAAAAGGTGCCTCGCGCACACCTCTCATATTTTGTATCACTGTGTAAGGTACCTCTAAACACATTAAAAACGTTTGACTAATGTAATTTAGAAACAAAAACAAAGAAAAACATAATACCCCAGAAATGTCTAAAATCCCATTCCGTATCCATATGGACACTCCGCGTGCTTGATGCAGAAGTTGGCTTGCCAAAAATAGCCTTCTTTACACTGGCAAACTCTATTGTTAGTAGCAGAGCATTCTTTCTTAATGTACTGATTTCCTAGAAAGTGCTGCAATACAGCAATTTCGGTAAGTAGTTCCAGAACTGTGTGAAATGGTCCTCTGAGTCTGGACATGGCGAGCAGGTGGTGTCCTCAGTTGCAGTGCAGTGTTTACTCATGTGGCTTCCTGGAGGCAGCGTGTGCATATGAATATCTGCCTTGTGACCAGGTCCTCGTGCTGGTAAGTGAGGACTTCTACTGTCGATGTGCCAGTGTGTAATAGTAGCATCAGTACTAGAGCCAACTGATGTTCAACTATGGAAGAAAAATAATGACAAATGTCTTTGAAACAAAAAAGCATGTTGAATTGCACTAACTGAAAAAATAATGCATTGCATTAATAGTGCTTGTATTTAAATGCCTTGTATTTTCAGGGCTTGCATTTTTAGGGCCTGAAATCCAACATAGTTGTATATTTAAGCTGTGAATATTTCAATTTAAAACATTTCACACACATTTTCATGATTAAAAATTAAATAATTCATATTCACGGTCTAGATTTCACTTCCAAAATATTCAATCGGTTTAAAAAAAAACGATGTATAATATTCGACAGGCACTTTTCGGTCCATTTTATTTCACTTTACAAATTCGCTTCCACAAATTCAGTGGTTCAAATTCGCCAGAAAATTCGGCATTGCACATCAGGGAACTGGCAAGAATAGCAGTAGAGCACCGATGCATGATCTCCATCTGCTGTCAGTTGCTCACCAGCAGGTGGTGCACGCGGCTGTTGATGAAACCAAAACAACTGGTAGCGCAAGCCATTCATTCATTCATACAACTGGCTTCCGGGCAAGACGGCGTGTTGAACAGTCGCTCGCGTCAGAGACGGAAGCAAAATTGTCCCAAGATCATCTGCTTACAAAGACGCTCCAAACAATTAAAAAGTATGATCAAACCGACCAGACGGATAATTAAAGAGGGGGACAGTGAAAAGAAGCAAGCTGCGATGAGCACTAAGATTCTCGAACAATCTGCCGACCAGTGGGGCAGGGGCGGAAGGACCAAAAAGGGCACAAAAAAAAAAAAAAGGAAAACAAATATTACTTCAATAAACATAACCAAATGTATTTTTTGTACAGATTTTAAACTTCATAATGTATGAAATTACCTGTATTTAAATCAGTATTCGTCTTTCTGCTGTCTTTTTAAATATTTGAATGACTTCCTCACGATTAATTGGAATGTCTAGCTCAATGGAGAGCAGCAGTAGATCAGAAAGCCTCTCTTCATTACAGACTTCGAAGACTGGATTTCACAAGTTTTAACTTAAAAAATGACCTCTCAACTGTAGAAGTGGAGACAGGTAATGTTGCATAAATTTTTAGGAGTTCAGGAAGAGAGGGGAAAACAGACTCAATCTCATTGTCTTTTAGGCATTTCCTGGACATTATTTTTGGTGAATGAGTAGGATGCACGTAACACTTTAAGTTTTGTAAAGACCTTTTCTTCCTCAATCCCGTAGAATTTACTAACTGTTCTGACAAATTCAGCATCACCAGGTTCTACTCCTTTTGACCATTTGGATGCTACTGTCAGATTGTGTAAGCCTTTGAGGATTATGCCAGTTGAACTATTATCCTTTCCTTTGAATTGTCTGAGCATCTCTTGAGTGATGGTATCCAAAAAGGTGTAGTACACCCATGTTCGGTAGAACTCCTCCAAATTCTCAGGGTGATGGTCTTCTCCTGTTGACTTGGAACTGTACTTATACCTTGCAAGGTATTTTTCTGGGTCCTGACTCACCAGGTATTTTGTCAGTAAACTCAATTTCAGCAGCCTCAGCCCGCTCCTTTGCTTTTTCAAAGACAACCTTGAATTCACTTTCTGTCTTCAGTTCTTGAAGCCTTTTTAGCACTCCTTCCACCAGTGTGTATGACACTGCTAGATCAACATCTTTAAGCTGAAGAGCAGCTGATGCAACAGTAGTCTCCTGAAACACTGGGGTGGCCACCTCCAAACAAAGCATAAACTCAATTTATGCTGCGAAACAACATTAGAGCATCACCTGCAGCTGGATCAGGTGGATTGCTGTCTGAGATTTTTTTCAACAGCTGCATAACTGCAGAAAAGACTTTCTGCAGTGCTTTTAAGGCATTTTCTCAACAGGCCCAATGTGTGTCACTTAGCTATTTTAATTCCCAGGTTTTCTCTTCAGCATACAACAACTTTTCTTTTCTAAGCATTTCTATGAAGGCAGCATGACGCTTGCTAGAAGAAGACAGGAAAGTGTAGAGCCTCTCTACCAAATTATGCACAAAATGGGGGCTTGATTTAGCAGTCTCCACTAACACTAAGTTTAAACAGTGACAGTTTAAACGGTGACTTTGGCAGTGCACAAAGAGTGCTTTTTCATTATTACAGAATTATCATTTTGCCTCTGAATTCTAGCCTGCAACTAACTAGCACTCATGTTGGCTGCACCATCGTAGCCTTGACCCCGGATATTTTCAGCATTCAACCCATTTTCTGAAAGAAGGGCCATTACCACTTCCTCCAAGTCTTGGCCAGTTGTTGATTTAACGTGACACACTTGGATGAAACGCTCCTTTATTTGCATGTCACGGACAAACCGGACCACAAAGGATACTTGCTCTGAGTGTGACACATCAGTAGTTTCATTCAGAAGAATTGAAAATATCTTGGCCTCATTAATCTCTTTCAGAATGACATTCCTTACTTGTGTTCCAAGAGATCGTATTAGGTCATTTTGGGTCCTGTTGGATAAAAGTGTCACCTGTGGCTTCTTGTTTTGGGATTGAGTGATCTGTATACACTCAAGATGCATTCTGAGGACACTGTCATATTCCGCTAAGAGGTGCACAAACTCAAGGAAGTTTCCTCTGTTTGAACTGGTGCTGCTTTCCTCATGTCCCCTAAATGCCAGTCCTTGTCTTGCCAAATATACTGTGATGTCTATTAAGCGAAACAGGATTTCTCTGTTCTTCTGTCTTTCTTTTTCATTTGGTAACTCCTTCTGCAGCCTGAGCTTTAAAAGCTTCAACTAAAGGCCCCTTTCTATAGTTGGCCCACATCACCATACTGATCATATAGGCTTCAGTGGCTGCATGCTCATGGATCTTTTCAACAGCCTTCCTCCAGTTGACAACTCCAGTTGTTCTCCATGCAGTCCTGGCTTTAAACTTGTCTTCTGTCAAGAAGAGACGACAACTAAAGCAGTACATGGCATCTTTTTCCACAGAATACTCCAGCCAGTTGTTACCAGCATACCACTGGCTCTGAAAAGACCGTCCTTGTGGATTTTTTGGAAAGCCAGCTACATGGTTGACATGGCCCAAGAGAGCAGCAGAACTGTATATAGTTGCTATTAACCTTTATTTTAAGCTGATCAACATGAGCTGGGTCTGTTGGAAACTGTAAGGTCATCAAGGATGGGTAAATGGCTTGTTTATTTGTACCCTGAACCTGGTATTCAATATCTGCTTCTGCAGCTCCTTCCTCGGTTTTCTCTCTATCCTTTTCTTGAATCATCTCTCCTTGTACCTCCCTTTTCATCTCTTCCTCACGGTATTCAATATCTGCTTCTGCAGCTCCTTCCTCTGTTATCTCTCTATCTTTTTCTTGAATCATCTCTCCTTGTACCTCCCTTTTCATCTCTTCCTCACGGTATTCAATATCTGCTTCTGCAGCTCCTTCCTCTGTTATCTCTCTATCTTTTTCTTGAATCATCTCTCCTTGTACCTCCCTTTTCATCTCTTCCTCACGGTATTCAATATCTGCTTCTGCAGCTCCTTCCTCTGTTATCTCTCTATCTTTTTCTTGAATCATCTCTCCTTGTACCTCCCTTTTCATCTCTTCCTCACTGGGCCTAATGTCTCCTTGTATTTCCTCACTTATCTCACTTTCTTCCTCATTGGCTCTAACCTCTCCTTCATCTTTCTCACTTGTCTCAACTGCTTTCCCTTGAATCTCTTCAATACTCTCCTTATCTGAACTCCAACTCTCTATGAAAAACAAATTTCATTACATTATTTTTATATTAAAGGGATGGTTTGCCCCAAAATAAACATTATTTCTTCTGTGGAACATAAAATTTAATTACATAATAATTTTGGCCATATAATGAATGGAAATGGGGACTCCATTTTGTTCCCCAATGGCTTTCAATATATGGACAAAACAAATCTTGTAAATATTCCACAAAAGGAAGTCATGAATTGAAACTACATATAGATTGAGTAAATGATGACAGAATTATCAATTTGGGTGAATTATTACTTTAATAAAAACTTCTCATTAAGTATGTTATGGACTGTAATATAAGTATAATAGCTTATTAGCTTAAACAAAAAAATGTAAACAGTACCTTCATCTTTATTCTCTCTCCTTAGCCAACTTGTGAGGAGGATGCTACCTTTGGCTGCATCAGAGATTTCCTTGTGTTTTTTTTCTTTTGATTCTTTCTTTCCTTGGCATTCTATTAAAGTTGTTGATAGAAATAGAATGCACACATCAAACAAAAATAAGGAGATGATGATAATATTACTAAACATTATTAACTTTTAAACAAAACAGTGAGAATCAAGAAGTTAATCATGTTGAATTCATGTTTAGTTTTGTTGATATTGTAAACTTTATGTTTGTATTACATGGATGACTGTGCTAGCTATCATTAAATCAAAGATATAAATTTCTTGCACGTTAGAGTTAGACGTGGAATTAGATTTAATTTCACTAAATGCATTTCTTTGAGCTAATGACATGAGAACATGCTAAACTATGCTAGCGCCGTTTAATGGGAAACAAGGATTGTTTCATCCAATCCTTGGATAAAACAAATGTCAGAAATGTGGGAGCAATCGAGTGATACTTATATTATAATTAAGCATAACTCGCATGCTACTGCATTCGCTAAGTTTACAACAACATTACGGTAGGATAAATGTCCATTTTCCGCGTTACCTGTCTGCTGCTCGTGTTTTGAAGACTAAGATCTTCTTCTTCTTCTTCCTCTTCTTCTTATTCTCTCGAGTTTTTTGGCGGATTGGTATTCTTTCCATTGATTGACGCCTAGCCCCCCATTCAACTCCAGACAAGCATCTTAATATGTTTATCCCTTTCTTACATTTTTCTATCAGCTTCTGAATATGTATTCTGAAGTTCAATTTTGAGTCCATCCACATTCCTAGAAATCTGACTACATTAACTTGTTCTAGCTGTTGCCCATACATTTTTATATTCAGAGAAGGATTAATTTTCTTATTTGAAAAACATATTACCTGCGTTTTTGCCACAGAAAATCTGAAACCCCATTTCCTTGCCCAATCCTCAACCTCCTTTACAGCTTTTTGCATTTTCTTTTCCACATACAAAACATTTCGCCCCCTAAACCATAACGCTCCATCATCTGCATACAATGACCTGCTCACACCAAAGTCAATATTAGAAAAAATGTCATTTATCATTAAGTTGAAAATAATAGGACTACTTACACTACCTTGAGGAGTTCCATTCTCTATTGGAAGAACCCGAGAGTATGCAGAACCCACTCTCACTTGTATTGTTCTTCCAAACAAAAAGTTCAATATCCAGTTATACATTTTACCTTTAATTCCCATACTATCCAATTTCAATAAAAAACCCTCCTTCCACAACATATCATATGCCTTTTCAATATCGAAAAACACACCTACTACTAATTCCTTCTTAACTTGAGCCTTCCTAATTTCATTTTCCAAACATAAAACTGAATCCATGGTATTCCTCCCTTTCCGAAATCCACTCTGATATGCAGGAAACAGGTTCTTGCTCTCAATAACATATGACAATCTATTCATAACCATTCGTTCCATAAGTTTGCAAATATTGGAAGTCAGAGATATTGGTCTATAACTGATTGTCTGAGATTGATCTTTTCCTGGTTTGGCGATCGGCACCACAACCCCGTGCTTCCACGCATCAGGCAACTTCCCTGTTTCCCAAACCATATTAAAGAGTCCTAATATCATATTTAATGACACATCCGATAAATGTTTAATCATCTCATAACAAATATCATCTTTCCCAGGAGAAGTCTGTTTAATCCCCACCAATGCTCTTTTCATCTCATACAATGTGTAATCTGAATCTAGTGTGCCTCCATCTGGATTCTTTTTTACAAATATCTGAGCATTATCCATCACACACTGTTCCCTGTACTTCCTCATATCCTCTGATATATTCGCATTGCTATGAACCTTAACAAATGTCTCCACTAATATTTCAGCTTTATCACTATCAGTTACTGCAATATTGTTGTTGTCAACTAACACCGGAATGCTAGTATTCCTCTGAATTCCTCCCATTTTCCTGATCATACCCCACAGTTCATTAATTTCAATTTCTACCCCAATTTTATTACAAAACTCTCTCCAATAATTTTTCTTTGCTCTTCTAATTTCTCTCCTCACCATTGCCTGAGCTCTTTTATAATTAATAAAATCAGTGAACACTAGCGATTTTCTTGCTTTCCTAAGGGCTTTATTTCTGTTACAAACTAATTCACTACATTTTTCATTCCACCATGGGACCGCTTTTCTTCTGTTTTTAGATTTGTTTTTGCCAATTACCTCCTCTGCTGTATTTCTAAGTACATCACTTATTTTATTACTTAACTCATCTACATCCATATCCGAATAGTTAATTTCAGCCATTTTATTTTGACACAATTATTTTATTCAGCAGTGTTAAACTTCCATCTTGGATTTCTCACCACTTCCACTTTTGTTATGTCCACCCCAATTTTAATAACAATAGGAAAATGATCACTTCCTATAGTACTTTGCTTCATTACATTCCATTCACACTTTCCAGCTAAATTATCAGACACTAACGTTAAATCTAATGCTGAATCACGCCCACGATTAACATCTATTCTTGTATTACTTCCATCGTTAATGCATACTAACCTTCCCCAATCAAGCATATCCTCAACAATCGTCCCATTCAAATCATTTTTGTTACTCCCCCACAACGTGCTATGGGCGTTAAAATCACCACACCAAATCACTTTATTCCCTATATTCCCACCTATATATGTATATACACACATATATAGTATATATATATATATATATATATATATATATATATTCTTTTTCTTTTTTTAATTTCTTTTCCCAGAAAATACTTATCCCAGTATTTTTCAAATAATTCATTAATACATCACTATGTATTTCCCTAGATATTGTTTTTCCTAGCAGATTTCCTGCGGCGCCCAGGGAGCAGTTGGGGGTTCGGTGCCTTGCTCAAGGGCACCTCAGTCATGGTATTGAAGGTGGAAGGGAGCACTGTACATTCACTCCTCCCACCTACAATCCCTGCCGGTACAAGACTCAAACCCGCAACCTTTGGGCTACGAGCCTGACTCTCTAACCATTAGGCCACAACTTCCCCACACATTTTGATTTTGTGTTTGTGTTTCTTGTGAAACTTGTGTTTCTAACTCACTTCTTTCTTCTTCATACCTTTTACAATCTAATAAAATATGTTTTACTGTCTCTTGTGTGTTGCAGTGGTTGCAAAGACCAGTGGGGTGTTTTCCTATTCTCTGTAATGTAAAATTTAAACCAGCATGACCAATTCTAAGACGTGTAATTATCTTTCCTTCCTTTGGATTCCTGCTGTGCCTGATACTATTTAAGCCTACTTGTTTTTGTATGTTATACAGATGTCGTCCAGTATCAGTTATGTCCCAGTATTCTTGCCATATTTTGTTTGTATGTCCCTTAATAATGGATTTGATTTCTGTTCCACATAACAGTATTTGTATATCAACTGTTTCATGCTTTATTGCTCCTCTTGCCAGAATATCTACAATCTCATTTCCTTCCACCCCTACATGAGCAGGAACCCAAAGGAAGGAAACATCCAGCCCTTTATCATACAGTATTAAAAGTAAGTTGAATATCTGGTATATGATATCTTGTCTACATGATGTTTTCCCAGATTGAATACTATATAGAGCAGATAAGCTGTCAGAAGCTATGATTACAATTTGGTTCTGTTTATTTCCTTCCAACCATTGTAATGCCAATAAAATTGCTAAAAGCTCTACTGTGTACACCGATAAATGATCTGCTGTTCTTTTTTTAACTGCTATTTCATAATGCGAAATGGAGAAAGCAGCCCCAGTACGGCCTGTCTCTGGCTGCTTTGATCCATCTGTAAATATGAATAGTTTGTCTTGATAAAGGTCCATGTAGTTTTGAACTATTATCCTCTGTGGCATTATTTTAGATTTTTCTTTTAACATTTGTTGAAGGCTTATATCTACAGATGGCTTTATGAATTTCCAAGGTGGTACAGTTGATAGTGCCACAATGGGGCTTACTTCCCACCCAGCAAAAACTTGTTGAAAAGACGTCAATGCCAGACGTCTAAACAACGTTAAAATTTGGTTGAAAAGTGAAAGGTGAAAAGACGTCTTTTTCAAGTCGTCGAAAAGACGTCTATAAAAAGACGTCCAAATTACATCTAAATTTGGTTTAAAAATGGAAGGTGAAAAGACGCATTTTCAGGCCTATTTACAACCGTGAATTAATTGATTATATTTATATTTCATATTCATAATTACTGTCAAAATAAGACAATTCACAAGAGTACCAAAACATTTATTGACACATTAAATACATCTTTCACGTAAAAAAATCTTAAGCCTACATTTTCAAACATAACATAAAAACAGTAATATTGTGAAATATAACTACAAAAATAATTATTTTCTATGTGAATGCATTGCAAAATGTATATGCTGATTTGCTGCTCAAGAAACATTTCAGTTGTGCTGCCCAATATCTTTGTGGAAACCATGATATTTTTCAGTATTCTTTGAATAGAACTTGCAAAAAAGCAGTATTTATTTGAAAGTTTTTTTTAACCATTTAAAAGTCTTTACTGTAACTTTTCATCAAATGAATCCATCTTTTCTGTATAAACATAATTTTTCAAAATAAACCTTTAAAATATTGAAAATGTTTATAAAACAGAACAAGGACCAATTATAACCACATTAGAACATATTTCACCCAAAAATGTAAATTCGGTCATTAATTACTTACCCTCATGTCGCTCCAAACCCATAAGACCCTTTTGTGCAGAACACAAATGAAGATATTTTTAACAGATGCCTTGTGTACGCAAAAAAACAGCAACTTTACTACCTTTCTGAGGCTTGAAAGTGGTGGTTGCATAAACTGTGAAATGGAAGGGCAGAAATTTCTCAGATTTCATTAAAAAGATCTACATTTATCTTTCAAAGATGAACAAAAGTCTTACAGGTTTGGAACAACATGAAGTGAAGTGAAGTGAAGTGAAGTGACGTGACATGTGGCCAAGTATGGTGACCCATACTCGGAATTAGTGCTCTGCATTTATCCCATCCAAAGTGCACACACACAGCAGTGAACACACACCCGGAGCAGTGGGCAGCCATTTTTGCTGCGGCGCCCGGGAAGCAGTTGGGGGTTCGGTGCCTTGCTCAAGGGCACCTCAGTCGTGGTATTGAAGGTGGGAAAGAGCGCTGTACATTCCCCCCACCTAGAATCCCTGCCGGTACGAGACTCAAACCTTTGGGTTACGAGTCCGACTCTCTAACCATTATCGCCACAAGTCGTGGCGACTTCCCTCACTGAAGGTGAGTTATGAAAATTTTTGGTTTAACTAACACATAAATCGGTAAATCGGTTCCCTCAGGGGCACCAATAGATCTCTGCCTGATCTCTGCCTGATCTCAGTGGGCAGCCATTTTTGCTGCGGCGCCCGGGGAGCAGTTGGGGGTTCGGTGCCTTGCTCAAGGGCACCTCAGTCGTGGTATTGAAGGTGGGAAAGAGCGCTGTACATTCCCTCCACCTACAATCCCTGCCGGTACGAGACTCAAACCTTTGGGTTACGAGTCCGACTCTCTAACCATTAGGCCACGACTTCCCTCACTGAAGGTAAGTGATGAAAAGTTTTGGTTTAACTAACACATAAATCGGTAAATCGGTTCCCTCAGGGGCACCAA